GTGAACACTCCAGCCAGCTGAGCCGCGCATGACTTGAGGACCCGGCCGGGAATCCCGTCCGGACCAGTTAATCCAGGTGCTCTTCAGACACCAAGACCAGGGGTGCATTCCAAAGGTTCCTCCTGTCTCCTATTCCTGACCCATTTTCCTTCACCTCACTGAGGTGATTAGGACAGCCTAACCTGTGAAGACCGCCTCACAGTCGACTCTCCTTAATGACGTGATGCCGGATGTCCGATGGACTACAAAACACCTAGCTTACTTTGCTGTGTTCTGTTGTTTTATGGCGGTCACATAAATGACAACAGGCTGTGACAAACGTTCTTCATGAATGGTCAGATTGCCTCACGTCTCTAGCAGCACACTTAATGCTAAAGTGCTCACACTGGATTATTTTGGTTTGCAGGCCTGCGGTTCTCCTTCCTCTGTCTTTGAGCCGTCCCACTCACAGCTGATTTTTGTTTTTTTACTTAAGTGAAGCAGCTGCATCTTCATATTTAAATGATAAATAAATATAAACAGAACATCCCGGAGATACACAGTCTCAATCATTTTCCGCACTTAGTAAATCAGTCCAGTAGCCCATAAAGTTAAATCCAATATGTGATTGGTGGATCAAAGGTCAGCAAGAGATCTTCAGGCCTATGTAAACATCTCATCGGGCCGTTAACGCTGAATAAAGTTTCTCAAACAGAAAGCAGAACACACAGGTGAGAAGAAAAAAAAACCTTTATTGCATCATGGTCTCAGTTTCTCCTTCACTTTGATAAGGAATGACGAGGCTGCCATACTTGGCTCTATGGAATGAGTCTTCACACGACCAGGTGACCATCACCTGTCATAATTCCCGCCCCCAATGCCCAGGTGACTGTCACTTGCCGTAAGCCCCGCCCCTCCCCCTGTCACATGAATCTGAGTTAAAACATGCGGATTAAAAGAAAGAAGATCTAACAAACACCTGAAGAACAGAAGAAGAGGATGATGGGAAATCAAGGTGAGCTCAGAGTCCATGACATCACTTCCTCCTACAGACACACGTATAATTTAAAAAAAAAAAAAAAAAAAA